CTTTCCTAAAAAGTTAGTTTCTCACATTTTTCTTGAGTAATATTCAGTCAGTACCCAAATCCTAAATTAAAAGCATCTCCAAACAATAAAATAATTTCTCTATTCTAAGTACTCCATTTGAGAATTTCTGCATGCATTATAAGAATTTCATGTTAAATCAAAATCAGATAGCTTAACTCCGATATTTTCGAATCTTACATTTAGTTTAGTTAGTTTTTAACTAATATTATGCATTTTTAGAATTTAAAAATGTTTTCGCACATAACATTTTACTGAAACATATGGAGGAAGACAACGCTTCAAAAGATAATTAAAATTTTTAACTTTTTTGCATAATTAGTTTTCCAGTATTAAATGATAAATAGCATAATCTAAGTTTTTGTGGTGATAATATACATTTAGTAAAAGATCATAGTATGATGAATAATATGGTCAAATTTGTTATCATAAATGCAGTTATATTTCATTTAAAAGCATAAAACATGACTATATTGATACCATTTTCAATTTTTTTAGAATATTGATTTATATTGATACGCATTTTTCAATTTTTTTAGAATATTGATTTATATTGATACGCATTTTTCAATTTTTTAGAAACTTGCAAAGATAAGTATACTTGTTTAATATTCAAAGGTTTGTTTTTTTTTTCTGAAAAAAAATTCTGTTATGCATTTTCCACGTTGGTACCATATAAGCACTTGCTTATAAACTGATTACCAATAAGTATTTGGACACCTATGCAAATGACGATATCTGCGGTCCTAAGGTACGTCACGGTCTCCGCCGATATATGTCGTGTAGGAAACAGCATCGGCTTTAGTCGCATGCAAGATGCCTCGCAGTTCGGAGCTTTCTGATTTCGAGAAATTTATAATTATCGGGTATCACAAATGTGGCCGATCCTTAAGGGACATATCTAGCGATCTGAAGTACCCAAAATCGACAGTGGCCTATGTGATTAAGAAGTGGAAGGTGAGCGGTGATTGTCGGAATGTGCCCCGAGTCGGCAGACCAACGAAACTGGGAGATATAGACCGACGAGTGCTCTCCAGAGAAATTCGGAAGAACCTCACCCAACCGATGGCCCTCATCCGCGAGAAGCTTCAACAGGCATCCGGGATATTGTTTCAATGAATACCATCCGTAAGGAAGCACATCTGCTTGGTTTTCATGGTCATGCTGCTGCCCATAAGCCTTTGATCACAAAGTCCAACCGAGTTGCTCTGTTAATGTGGTGCAAAGCACATCGAAATTGGACCGTAGAGATCAGTGGAAACGGGTTCTTTGGAGTGACGAATCAAGGTTCACCCTTTACCGTTCGAATGGCAGGGCCTGGGTCTGGCGTATACCTGGAGAACGTCTCCTGCCAGAATGCATTGTGCCAACAGTCAAGTTCGGCGGAGGTGGAATTATGGTCTGGGGGTGTTTCTCCTGGTATGGGCTGGGACCCTTGGTCCCCATTCATAGTAAGGTCAACTCCGATGCCTACTGCACTATTTTGGATGACAATGTGCTTCCTACATTGTGGCAGTTTTATGGGTTGGACCTCTGTTACTTTCAGGACGACAATGCCAGTTGTCATGTTTCGACGTTAACCAAGGCTTGGTATGGGGCCAATGGAGTTCATCGAATGGACTGGCCTGCCCAGAGTCCAGACCTTAACCCTATCGAGAACCTCTGGGACGAGTTGCATCGCCGAATTCAGGGGTGCACTACCCGTGCAAAATCGGTGAATGAACTTCTATGTCTTCTCCAAGCCGAGTGGAAGAAAATACCACTAGCTATCATACAAAGACTTGTGGAAAGTATGCCCCGGAGGGTCCACGCTGTAATTACCTCTCGTGGAGGTTCTACCAACTGTTGATTTTGAATAAAGTTATTTTTTCTTTTCTACTACAGGTGTCCAAATACTTATTGGTAGTCAGTGTATTGCTTAATAATAAACTAAGCTCCGACCATCATCAGTGAAAAACGCTTGACTTTTTGGAATGCTGTGTAAATCACAGAAATAAGAGGCCCAGAATTTTTTTTGAATAGGGGCCCACAAGTTCTACATGCGTCACTACATTTTACACCTGCCAAATCCTTGAAATAACATGGCTGTTTCGGGGAACACTACATAATCATTAGATATACTTGGCCATGCATTTACATAATTAACGTATTAATTATTAGTTCTTGATTGTCTCTTATTTCTGAAAAAATAGAAGGGTTTTAGAAAACCCTCGTTCAAAAACACTAAGGAATCTTACACAGATTCCTCTCGCTCAAGGAACAAAAACATCATCTTGCATTTCTTTTGCGCCATCTTGCCAAAGAGTTTTAAATAGGAAAAGTAAGTAGTATGAAAAAAAAAAAGCAACATATTAGCGCTATCTAGTAAAGGAAATAAAATTAGAGGAACCAAAACTTGTGAGGTAAGGCTTTCAAACTCTTCCGGTTCATTAATGGCCGAGCGGATATGACAGCTGAGCTCTCATAGTTTAACGCGGTTTTCCAAATCCCGACGAATGATCTAGCTACATGGGCCTTTAAGTGGGTTTCCTCATGTATAATCTTAATACAAACCATTTCCCTTAGAAGGTTAGTAGCTGAGCGGTTAAGACAGCTGGATGCTGGAAGTTGGGCCTGGTTTGATCTCTGGCGAGCGGGCTGACTGTATATTTGGTTTTCAGGATTTTCTCAACGTATAACGTGAATGCGAACCATTTTTCCTTTGAAAGTCTTCCATGACGGCATCTATTCCTTTAGGCAAATAGCTCTCGAGTGCTTTGTCATATTCAAAAAACCTAGCCTAACCCAACCCTTAGAAAGTGTTCTACAAAGGCATCCCCTTAGGCAGATGTTTTATTGCAGTCTTCCAAATTCAAATACTTTCAGCAGAACAAAGCAGCGCCATAGTTGTTGCTTCGTCTTATTTAGTACCATTTTGGAATTTTTTTTATTTCAGCAATGTTTTTCTGGCAACAGACTGTTACTTCTTAAGACGAAGGCCACGTACCTGATTCCCTCGAAATGAATAAGTCCGTCTTTAAAACTAATGCCACTAAAAATTTTACAGATTTATCTAAAACACTGTATAGATAAACTTCGGTAAACGTGAACTTCATTTGCTAAAAAAAAATTAATCGGATTTCCTTTTAAGAGTATGTATCAAAACGTAACCTTTGTTAGCTTTTCTTTATCTTTATCAACGAGGAGAATAATCTCTAGCGATAAACTTTCGTTTCCCAAAAAGGCACAACTCCCAAAAGATAAATATCCATTCTTTCCGGCTGCTACAATAAAACGAAAATGTCTTATGGAAACATCTGCTGAAAGGAAGAACTCTTTAAGTTTCTCTTTCAGGCTTCAGTTTATTTTGCTCCATGCGTTGTTACATACGAAAAAGGTAGGGCTTAGATCTATTGCGAATTCACAATGCCCATTCATAGATTTCTGTTTTGGCGACTTTCCATTGCTTCCGCCTTCCAAATACTAAGCTAGAGAAATAGAAAGTAAATTTCAGTTTGCTTTTGAGCTAGCAGAAGCCAACTTTGGCTACTCGAGAATGAGCCTAATACTGTACTGACAAAATGGTGGTGATCATTCAATTTCACCATGATGATGATTCATTTTTACATGGTAATGCAGTTAAAGCTCTAAACTACATAAATAAATCCGTAGTTACTTAGGTTGCCGCAGATATGTTTGGGAATTCCTTTTAAAAAAGCTACTTATATATATATAGAGAGAGAGAATGGTAATTTCGAAAATAAAAACACCGGACTGCTGCCTGTTAAAGCAGGATGCTCTCATGAAAATCATTATGAGGGAAATCCTATTTACTGAAATGAATAAATGTAGCTGTCAAATTAATGGTTAAAAGCACTAAAAAGATGTGCATCTTTTCTAAGGCTTCTAGTTACGTTTCTAGATGGGTTAGGAACTCTTTGAAGGTGGTCGTCTTAGAGAAAGTTTGACAGTATCGATATTTATTTATGCTGTCAGACAAACTGGTCATTTTGAGGTCGTCTTAGGAAAAGATTGTATCCTCCTTAAATTTATCGCGGTTTGTTATCCTTTCCACCGAAATCACGTTCAGGCATCTTTTCCTTTTTGGTAACTTAGAAACTTTAAATTTACAATATAAATAATGTGCTTTAATTATTTAAATTCAGCTTGTAAATACAAAATAGTGACTTATCACAATACCCGAGCAGATAAGACTGCTGAGCACTCATTTCTCCTGAGTTTGGTTTTCGGTGAACGGGCTGGTTGCTTGACGTTTTCGGGTTTGCTTCATCTTTATAAATCTGGGAAAACTTTACCTTCCCTCCTTTTTAGCTTCCCTAGCAAACTAGATACGACCATACTTATTGCAAGCATTCCTGCATTCTAATTATAAGCCTAGATGCATTAAAAAGCCTAGATGCATGACTTTTGTTGTTGACTACTGCTCACTTGTCTGACCTTTTAGTCAGCCCAAGTCCATGAAATTCCTCGTGGCAAGGAGCGCAAGATACGCTGCTTGCCCTTGAGCACCTTACAGATGACAGTGCGACTTAGTTCAGTTCCGCCCCCATTTGGATGAAGAGCACTCCGGGGGGACGGGTCTGACGGTCTCCCACCCCTCTTCCGCTACTACCAACCTTTCGAGAGGACTTTCGGTTGACCGCATATTTAGAGTGCCACCATGCCGCACGGACACTATACATTTACAAACATACATGCCTTCTCCGGTATTCGAACCCGGGTTCTTCGGTACGGCAGTCAACGACGCTCACCATTATACCGGTTGGGCGGCTTCTGAATTTTGTGCGTATTTTTATACAGCACCGATTGTACATGATTGCAACTCATAGATATATATTCTACGTATTATCTATTTATTCGTATTAATGATTATATACAAAGTACATTATTTTTAGCGCATATAGCAAAATTGTATTTCATAATATAATGTAAACAATTTGGTATAAAAATAGCAGTATTCATTAAATTTTTGTTTCATTTAGGAATCTATGGGAAAACTGAAAAGAAAAAGACATCAACGGAGAGATCATTTTCTAGGCAAATTCTATTTAAATATTCCTTCATGTTTCCACATTAGTTAGTTACTTTTTCTAAAAGGCATCTTTTGCTGCAACATCCTACTTTATTCTCTTTGCTGCTTAAGGAGGTTAAGTATTTCCCTTCACTAGTTACTGTTATATAATTTGTTACTTCATTCTTAGAAACAGAAAAAGCAATTCTAATTTGATAAATTCTATCCGAGTCTGCTAAACCTGTTACTGCAAATTTTAAGAGCCATTGCATTTTCGTCTTCCCTACAACTTTGCATTAATTCTAAAAATTGCATTGTGGATGATGATATCCACCGTTTTCTTACTGTTTTATGAAAATTGGCAGCATTTTACTTGTGCAGAGTAAAATAAATTATATAATTTCTTGCGTCACGAATTACATGAACGTTTAGAAACAAAAGGTTATTTAGTAAATTAATAAAGATTTTATTTAAATCCTTATTTAATTATATCTATCGGAAATCGCTTCATCTATTTTTTAACTTTTTGTTAATATTTTTTGTTCGCTTTAGCCATTTAATTGAAAATTTATTTAAAATTTCTTTCGTGCAATTCATTGTCGTTTTCAAACATTAACAGAAGGAAATAAAATTTTTAAAAAGTATGATAAAGGAAAGTATGTAAAAATTAAAAGCGTGCATAAGAAAATAATAGGCAGTTAAATAATACGCAAAAAGGAATTACTACAAATAACAAAAAAATTCATTGGCAAAAAGACTAATTGGACTTGTATAAAAATAGCTGCATCTGAGCAAAGTTTTTCTTTAGATAAAATACATTTTGTACTTTTAAATGCTGATTAGCTACTTTCTTCCAGTAACATGTAAATTAATTATTTGAGAATCTTTAAAAGAAAATGAATCTTAGCCGGTATAACTACGGTCAATAAAACGGATTACTAATTTTCTGTTTCATTAGAATTACTTCCTAATTTATTCCCTGTAATTTTAATTATTCCCTATCATTAAAGTTACTCTCTAATTTTTCCTTTTGATTAAAATTTTAATTAATTTTTCACTTCATTTCCATTCGAAAATCTTATTTCATGTTCATGTATACAAATTAACATCACTTTATGTTTTATTTCGAAATATAAAATATATCTTAACACAGTCCCCACATTTGTTTGTGGGATTAGATTTTTTTGATAGCCTAAGTGTGGTATCTGGAGCGGATATTTATTTGCAGAAAATTCTCCTTAAGACGTCATCTTGACCATCCTATCTTTTCGTAAAGAGGCAGGATACTGAAAGACTGGGCCGTATTTGAAACTTCACTCTGCGAATGTGAATTCGGAACTAATTCAAATGTAAGAATCTTGAATATCGTTACAATATATAATTATATGTGTATAACCGTCATGTGCTTTAACCGTCATGTGCTTTACCTATAATCAATTAAAAAAGCGAACAAATAGAATTATTTTCCATCTATTTGTGATCGTTCGTCTCTGGTTTACCAGTCGTTTAGTTAGTTGATTAAAGCAAAACACACGAGGTCTATCAACCTAATTAATGATACCTTTGTGGAGGACTTTATAAGCGAAGTTAGTTCGTATTTATGTTATATGTGGGGAAAAGTACGAAGTCCCCATGCATGCGGACTATTCTTATCTCTAGTTAAGTCGTCATTCTTCTTTCTCTTTCAGTCTTACTCATTTTAGATGCACTTTTATCTCAAAGATTTCCCTTGAATTCAGCACAATTATAAATGCGAAGAGGAAGCTAATTATGAGATTATTTTGAGCTTGTTTTTCAGTTCGGTAATAATTATCTCTAATTATTAGGTATACTATGTCTTTTAATGGTATACTGGTGAATTTCCATTTCTATCTCTAGCTGTTCATTGAATCAGGAAATTGAATGACAGAATCCGGAATAAAATTAATCTCCATATTGCATAGCAGGTAGAGCGTCTGGCTGCCGTATCGAATGACGTGCAATTTCGGGCGGGGACAACGTTGCAATTTTGCCAGTGAAGCGTATCAGGGATGTGTAACTCATTGTGAATTTATTCATACATGCGCATTGAGAAGCAATTAAATTTATTTTCTCTTCCTTTATCTGAACTCATATTGCTGCTTACGTTATATGCAATTTTTGATTATTGTATGACGAAAATGTTATTTTTAAGAAAATGTTAATCTTAAAATTGCTACCTGCATCATTTATAACGGAGGTGAAAAAGTTTTTACATTTAAATTAATATATTTTAAAACTTCGTTCAGGGGCATAATATTCAAAATGAAGCAAATGAAATAATTAGTATAAAATCTGAAATTAAAATTTATAACATTAAGAATAACTTGCGGTCTCTTGGCAGTCAAAAATATTATTGGTTCACAAAAAAACAACAGCTTTATAATATGAACTGAATTAACGCTAGTTATGGATTTGTAAACTGTGTTAACACAATTCATCATAATATTTAAACAAGCGAATAATTTTTGTAAATACTATTTTTCTGTTGTCTACAGACAAAAGTGTTAGGCTAGGATCTGCAAAGAGGTAATATATCAACTTTTGTCAATAATAGCAAAAAAATTATTAACTGTTATTACAGGAGCTGAAAATAACACTATATAATATGCATTTTGATCTTTTAACTGAAACATTAAAAAGTGGTTGCGAACTTAATATGATCGGGTACTGTGGACTAAAGCAAAACTGTATAAATAAAATTGTACTTTTTGCGAACACATTTCAGGTATATTAAGGGTCTTACCAGTGGTAGTTTGGTTGAGACCTCTGTCTACTAGTAGTTCAACCTGAGTTCGAACCCAGACAAAAGGGCTGGTTGATTGGTTGATTTTTCCCATGCGTATCAGGAAAAGATCCTGTCTCTCTTAGATAGCATTCTACGAAGGCATCTATCTCCTTATGCATATAGTCCTGATATGCTTTGCTATGTTCAAAATAGCAAAATAGGGAAAAAAAAAAAAGAAAAAGAAAAACTTCAAAGACAGTGAATTACAAGCCTTCAAATTAAAAAGTGCACATGTTTATGATTAGCCCACTAGTCCGAAGAGGCTTATGTTTTTAATGCTTTCCAACGTTTGGCACGTTATGATACGCTATTGCCAGTTACAAAATCGTGGTTAATGATTTCATTTTAAAATAAAATACTCTTAGTTAATGATAAAAGTACCAAAATAAACATGATATTTATTTCACAGACAAACAGCCTTTGGGTAAAACGTGATTCTTGAAACCTTGGAGCGCATATCATCTTAACTGAAGGTTCGAAAAATATTTATTTCAAATCTTTGCTAAAAGAAAAAAAAGTAAACTTGCGAACACCAAAAATGTGCATAAAGAATGAGACGTTTGTCCCTGGGATGATTTAAAACAAAACACGCGAAATCTTCATGAAAAGAGAAATTTTTAAAGAAGGAAGATGTCTTTTATTTACGTTAAACGTTAAAAAATTAAATAAAATAAAAAGATAGGTACAGGCATTCAGCTGCCTATGGATTCACACACTTTATTTGCTGGTAGTCGTGATGGCGGATAAACACTGAGTGATCTATCTCTCGTTGACTTGGAAATCTACTTGCAGTCTATAAAGTGGAATGAAAAATACGGAAAGGAAAAAGGTAAATTAGTATTTTTTTTCACCTTTAATAGCACTGCTCAAAAATAAAATCTCCCTATGCATGAGCTCACATGTTTTGAAGTTTAACAGTAATATAGCTTTTCGTAAAGGACTTACGTAAACCGTTTTGCCTAAAGAGTTTGATAATAAAAATAGCCATCGAAATTCAAGATCTTAACAAGAATAGTAATCTCTACCAAAGTATCTTCTTCATCGAGCATATATATGGTTTTTAAAGAGATTTATTCATTAAAGCAGCTGTTCATTAAAGCAGCCAGATTTTTTTAATACAAAATTTAAAAAAAAAATGGCAGTTTTTTTAAATAAAATGAAACAATTTATTAACAAACTTAATAATATTTTAAATAAGTTTTAAATTAGATTTCACGTACTAAATTTTTACCAATACTTACATAAACAACAATACTAATATCGAAGATAGAAAACAGCTCATATTAATTTTCTGTTTGAAATCTAAAGTTTGATACCTGCGAGACGTTTTTGCTGATTACACTTTGTAACTCAAATATATTTACAGCTAGATATTAAATTTCAGACTGAGATTTTAAATAATTCTAACTTGTATAATTAACATTAAATTGCTTACTCTAATTCAAAATAAAAATAAACAAATTATGAATAATTTTACAAGTAAAACAAAACTCGAGAATAAATAACTACAACTTCGTCTCTTTAACTTATTTAGTAATTAAAAATTCGTATGTTCGTATGTAAATAATTATGAATTTCTGTATTTCTTACAATAGCATGACATTTGTGGGCGTTTCGATTCTGATCAAGTTTATAAGCCTAGAAAGAAATTTTAGAAATTACCTTCTTTTCAGGTTGTAGATGATTATCAATGAATCGTTTTTTTTTTTTTTTTTTTTTTTTTTTTTTTTTTTTTTTTCTTATTAATTTCCATCTGTGCAAAAAGACTGTTCACACTGAAATATATTCTCAAACAACGCACTTTTTCTTAGTGCAAAAATTCGTAACTGAGTTTATTTATTTTCTGGCAAGTACGAATAAAACTTAATAAAATCGGTATCTTCAAATCTTTGAATAAGATTTGTATCACGCTGTTAATTAATTAGCTCCGTTTATAGATTTCCTTGTGTTTTATTCCTGTTTGTTTTTAATAAAAGTGAAAATAATATGTACTCTGACTTCAAATAAATAAAATCTTGAAATCTTTGTAACAAGTTCATAATTGAAATGGCTTTGGGGATCGCATGCGGCCCGCTTGTTTGAGATCAATGCATTAAAAGTCGCTTGACTGTAATTAAAAATTTTTATTTATAATTTATTTTACATTTTTCAATACCAGACAAAAATTTAAAAGTTACAAACTCTAAATTTGTTAGTAATTTTGAAGATTGCAAAAAATAAATTACACGTAGTGAATGTATGGCAGTGATAGTAATACAGTATGAAATTCTTTGAATGGGATAGTGATACGAAATCAAGTTCTTTGGCAATGATAGCGACACAAAACCATTCTTCGCATTACGAAAGAGTATTTCAGATAGCGATGCGATTCCGCTAAAAATCTACCGCTTTCAGAAGTATTTGATGCTAAAAACATTATCTGACACATACCGAATGTGTGTTCGAAATTATTACTGATTATAAGAAAGGACTCATTATCGCTATATATATCACTCAATCACAAGATAATGACTCACTATTTAAAGATCTGATTATCTTTTGACAAAGCACAGCGAATCTATCTTTCAGCGTTTTATGTTCATGTTAGGAAATTTGCTTTTCAATGTTCCTGCCACCTCTTTTTGTAAATCATTATTTTTCATTATCTTAGATTATCATAAGTCTAACTTAAAATAAATTGAGGCAAAAAAAATTATAAATAATTTCATGTAATTTACATTTTAACATTACAAAGATTTTTCAAACAAATTACTTTTCATGATTTTAAAAAATATATATTATGTTTGCACCGCACGTTTGGCGGCACATATTACTTTCGGAATGTAGTTACCATTTTGTAATCAGTTGCATATTAATCATGTATTATCACTACTCTGAAACTTAAAAAAATCTGGAAATATAGAATTTTTTTCCAAATAAATCCTCCTAATCAGAGTTGTTTTTCATGCTGAGCAAAGTTTTAATCAGCTGTATCAAAATTCGAAATGCACATCTTAACTTTAATCAAAGTTCAAGGTTATGTTTAGTTCGCACCGCCTATTCATATCATCAATTCAGAACTAACGTGAGCATGAGGATGTTAACAACATTTCAGAAAAATCGGTAAAATTTATTATGTAGATTTATACTGGATTAAACACTTTTTTAAGGTAAGTATTTTCTTATATAAATTAAGAAATCTGGATTTCTAAGCGTTGAAAACTTTTCTTCTTTGAGAGCGTTCAAAAGTATTTCTGAGCACTGATTTGAAACCTATGCAGTAAAATTTATTTTTATAGCGCTATACCATCTTGCTGAAACAAAATGTCCGAGGGAAGGAATTTCTAACATAAATTTTTAGCATTAATATTTTATGGTTTTAGTTTCTGAGATCATGGCAAATTTTAGAAAAAATACTGATTAAGAAGTCTAGCTTGAAATTTTCAGCTCTCAAATGGACTGCTTGAGAAGGTGCATGGCAGAACTTTTTAGATTAGGTTTAAACTCGAATTAAATACCTAAAATAATTGTCATTTTCCTCCGTGTCTTGACTCCTTCAATATT